GGCCGCCCCCGGGCGCGCGGCTGGGGGGGCCCACCCCGGGGCGCGCGGCGGGCAAACGGCCATGCCCCCTGGCGCCCGACAACCTCAAAAGGTTGGGGACCACTGGTCTAGGCACACATTTCATTCCATAACACAGGAATTTTGCAATGGGATCAGTCTACCAGATGAGAATAATGGTAATTTCAGTTGATCCACTGTTGACAGAGATTTTCAAAGTAGTCTAGAGGATTTAGAGATATCTAAATATATTTACAAGTAATGGAAGTGGTGTGTCTTAATCTCTTAGATCTTCCATGATTTTTAATCCAATTTAGATGAAAGATGTGTATTTTCTAGAAAATCTCAGTGGCATAGGATACAGTTCTTCTGCTGTGAAAGGATAACTATATCTAGAGTACTGCGTACTGCACAGCTATCAGTATTCCAAAATAGCTATCCTGTGCCTACACAAGCCACCCATTATTTTGAAATATTTTTTGAAATAACAGGCATGCTAATTCACCATCCTGGTAAACTTCATTGCATGACTGATAGCTCAAAATATTATGTTATTCTGAAATTTGGCAATGTGTAGATGCGCCAAATTTCAAAATAAGCTTTTTAAAAATATATTTGAAATAAGATATGCAATTTGCATAGTGCAAATTGTGTATCTTATTTTGAGTTTAGGGTGTTGTATAGATACACCCTTCCTATCCCTCTAGAAAGAAAAACTCAGGTGGAAGATATGGTCTGGATTTTGATGGACTCAGGCCTATATTTGAATATTTTCAAGTGCTCATATGCCAGTATATATCAGAGACCCATTTTTCAGAGTGCAAGTGGAACAGATAAACTTGGTTTCTATCTGTGCAGCAAAATTTAGAAATTTGTGCCAAAATATGTTGAATCTGGCAAGATTTATGTGCCAGGTACATGCAGTTGCATTAGTCTTGCACCAGGATTGTGACAGTCTGGAATCTTCTGGTCCAGTATTCTTGACTACTTGAATTGCCTATTTTGATGGCAACATTTAGGGACTTGGGGGCCAAAACTTGTATGATCCAGCAGGCTTCAAGTGCTGATATTCTGCCCATGCATCAGCATCTAGATTTCTGTAGTGGAACTGGAGTAATTGTACTTCTGTATTTAGTTGGTAAACTTAGACTTTGGGGGGGAAACAAAACTGACTGAATCCAACAAAATCCAGATGCTGGATACAAGTGCTAGATATGGGTTTCTGTACTCTTCCTATGCAGGGTTACATCAGGTATGAAAAATGTGTTGGTGCAGTAGTAGAATGTAGATTTCTACTCATTTCATGCTGTGGAATTTGGCAGAGTGAAGGACTTGAGGGTCAACTATCGCATGGGCCAAGGAGATGGATTTTTGCAACTCTCATCTCCAATGATACATCAGATATTTTTTATGCCCTGGGAGCAGCTGGATTGTTTTCTCTTTAGGGAGTTAAAATCTGAGCTTAGAGCCAAAATTTGACCAGATCCAGGTTTTGTAACACCCTGTGGATAGGGTGGGGGCTCTCCATTTTGCAATAGTTGGGGCTTGAGTCGTTTACTGGTTAGATGGTACACGACTAACCATCGTGGGGCTGGGGGCCGCCGGCCAAACCCCAGCAAGATCCATTTAGATCCAGATTTCCCCTTCCTCTTTTATCTGACCACTTCACCTACTGTCCTTTCCAGAAAACAGCACCTTCAAGTATAAAGTGGAAAGAAATGGAATGGAGAGAAAACTTGTGTGAAGTCTCGTGTTTCGGAAGGTGTCACGCACTCTGACAACTTCTCACTTTGTTTTTAACCTGGGGCGTGCATGTGGCGTGAGGGAAATGTTGAGCTGCCGAGGAGGGCAGGACTTTAGGGCGCTGATCTAAGTAGAGAGGAGGGCAGCTGTGAAGGGACAGTGCGCTGTATTGAGCCGCCGCGGTGTTCCAGCAGCTCTGGGCATTCTATTTTCATTCCTGGGGTTTGCCTGCAAGTTGAGCTGTAATTAAGAGTTCTTGGAGGCGTACTTAACTTGTGACGTGGTGCTTTTCTTTTCCTCTCGGTGAGAAAGTGACTCCCTGAATCAGGACCGCTGCCATTCAGAGCCAGAAGGAGACACTCTGGACATATACGTACACACAAACTTAAGGTGAGCGCCAAAAAACTCTCTCTGCATTTAGTGTGCTCTGTTTCTAACTGCTGGGGAGTTTGGAGAGCATCTTAAATTTGGAGCTCTGGAAAAGGTAAAAACAAAACAATTGTTGTGGTGGGGAAGGAAGGCTTTCGTTCAGATGAATGGTATCCAGCACCTAATGTCTCAAGGCATCAGATAGGGTGGCGTACTAACGGGATTAGGAAGAGATCTTTGGCAAAAGTTGGAAAAGAAGACTTGAAACCGACCACCCTCTGTTTATCTGACTTTGTGTTAACAGATGAGATATCATATTGCAACTGCAGATTCTGTCTGAACTACGACAATGGTATAGTTTAGTCCACTGACTTTCTCCTGTAAGACTATATATTTCAGAGGGATTAATGTTTCGGAAAGGTAATTTCCTCATCTGTTAAAATCCCAGAAAGCGTAGAAAGGACCTGTGAAGGGGAGGACAGTGTGGGTTGAATGAAAAGCTCAAGAGTTGTGAATGTTGTTGTCTCGCACTTTAGGACTGATCATGTTAGAGGGGGGGAAAAGTCTGGTATGATACATATTTTTTTCAATATATTTTTCTTATTGTCAAATGAAATTTGAGATTACATCTCTTTTGGGCACAGGCTTCTTTATTATCTATACGTTAACAAGAACGGTAGGAAGTTATAATATCACAAAAGTTAAATATATGAGCGATTTATCGATGCTATAATAGCAACATAGTCTCAAAAATGTGTAATTGCTTCTCATTGTTAAAAGTAAAAAACTCTCATTTCAAATGCTCCTCATGCCAAAATTAGAACTGTTGGGTATGGATGGTTTAGATGCAAGTATTTAGTTTGAATGAACTTGTATAATATGTTCGAAATGAGCTGTCATGTCGCTTTACATTCTTTTATCGCTAGAAAAATACACAATGTAGATTGCAGTTAAGAATTTTCAGTGTGGGATATGTTCCAGTATGACGTCAAGGGTTGCTTGAGGAGTTTCTTGGAAGCTAGCAGTGGGGAGGGGGGAGTAGTGGGGAGGGGCGGGGAGGAGGCAGGCGGTAGAAGAAAGAATTGTTTGAATTAATTTCTTAAAGTTGAATGCAATATTGATTCACTACAAATGAACTTTACAAAAATGTAATGAGGCTTTTAATATTTACATATATATGTTTCGTGGAGTATAACTTTGAAGTAAGTAATAACATTTTCATTAGTTTGTTAGAGATGAGACACTTGACATAAGATATCTGAAAAAGTAGATGACAAAGAATTTGTAACTGGTGAGGATTCACTCTCCACTGAGTTTAACTGGCTATGCTTAGTTCTAGCCCCTACCTGTTCTTTTAATGTAAAGATACTAATAACTAAAAAGGTTTATATTCCATTTCAGTTAGCTGCCCCCAAACTGACAATAATTACAAAAGGGATATCTTGAACTCAGTGGAGAACAACTACTTTCTTAAGTGATACAAATAATAAAGTCAGTGCAGTAGTCAAGATATTGCTGGTCTGCAATAAAAATGAGCCAAAAGGCCCATCTTCCTAATAAGAGCCCTGAATATCTGAGGAGTTGAAAGGAGAAACACCATTTTGTTATGAAGTGGAGCATTCAGCAATTTTCTGTTTCAGATAAATGATTGTCAGTATAATTCAAAAGTATTCAAAAAATTTTCCCAGTAAAGAATCATTTCATTATATCCCTAATAGATCAAGTTTCCTCTCACTTTCTTCTGGCCGTTAATACAGCTAGTGCTTGTGAGAAAGGGTAAGGGAGTAAATACCTTGAGCTGTGCTTATGCAGGAATGGTTTTGGAAAATACAGATCTCAGAGAGTTCTGATGTGCTTTAGATGGTTTGCTCTTTGTGTCATAGGGTGGGAAGGAAGTTTTCTGGCACCCTGGAAAGACTCCAGAGACTTAATGTAGAAATGTGTCAGGAAAAGTGTGTTGAGATATCTAACTCTGGGCTTTGGAACCAAGAGAGCTGAATTCAAATCCTGATTTGCTTTGTCACCTTAATCAATCACTTTACCTCCCAGCCCCTCTTTAAAATAGGGAAATAAAACATTGGCCCAGTCATTATAAAGTGCTTAGAGATCTTCAGGTGAAAAGTAATTAATCAAGTGCAAAATATTATTATCGGTATCCTATCTTTTAATCATTTTGAGAGATAAGTAGTAAGCACTTTGGTCTGAATTAGGATTTGTTTCTTTTTATATGCTTTTCTACTGAAGTGGTAGGTAAATTATGGTTTAAATGTTGAAATAATGTGAACTTTATATACTGCAGTTTTAAACCCCCAATTCTATGGATTAAAATTTTCAGAAAATTAAATGTAAATTTTTGAAAAAAAATCATTTTCTGATTACAAGCTTCTTCTGTTGCCTGTAAGGAATTATTAGACATTCTGGCTCCAGAGTGAGTAACTGTAGCATACAGTCATGCACTTGAAAAGGTAGCTTGTAATTTGTAGGTAACAAAATGTTCTTTGGGGTAAAAATGTCTGAACGTATTTAGGATTTCAATCAATGGCATTTAAGGAGGATTAGAGGAAACAGCTGGCTAAACAAATATTAGGTGTAGGGTGGATGCAATGGTATAAATTAATAATGCTGTTCTTTATTTACTCTATGAATGGGAGGTTTTGTGAAGATAAGATGACTTAAACATGGTCACTGTATGCCACCTAGTGGATGCTGCAAATTGGACTTTCACTATCCTCTTCTATTTTTTTAACTATGCACACATCTGTAACTAATCTAGTGCAGTACTTAATGCTAACAAGTCAACTTTATTCAATTTTAGCATAAGCGAACCAGCTAACTCTGTGTGTGTGCGTGTGTGTACGCGCACTCATACCTTTGTGTGTGTGCAAATGCCAGTTGGTTGCAGTAAACATCAGTTTAACTTTAGTTTAATATAATTTGCACCGATAGAGCTTTTGCTGTTTCTAAGGGTAATTAAATAATGCAGTAACTAATACCCATAGCTCACATATAGTCTAGCATTTACTTTATTTTACATATATTTAAAGAAGTGAAGTGTTGAGGGCTTTTGTGCTAATATTAAAACAGGAAAGGATAACGATCTGCAATAACTGTTTCAAAGATACCTCCAGCGGTGCTTCCAAAAAAATCTATTACCAAGAATAGATTGTGGAGCTAATAAAAATATTATTTGTCGCTAAATATTTCTCTTCTTGCCAGCCATAAGAGAAGAAAATGTTTAATCATTTCTCCAGATTAAAGGTTCCTCTGCTTCTCCCCCTTCCTTTTCCTGAGATTCCCTCAATCTTACTCGACTCTGCTCCTCAGCCTCCTTAATGTTCTTTCCTTCCCCTGGACCACTCCATCTCTTCCCTTTCTCTAGGGAAGGGGGATATGTCTCTTGGTCCACAGGTTTCCTCATTCAGGTACAGACTGTCAGCTGATGTAAATTGTCATTGCACCATGAAAGTTAATGGAGTGGTGAGAATTTATACTAGCTGAGAATCTGCCCCTCAATCTGCACTTGGGGAGTGGACTTCCAGACCATGGAATCTTCTGGTTATCTGCTAACACAAACCTATTCTAGTGGGAACCACCAATACCTGGCCTTTGGAGCCAATGATGGGTCTCATTTCTGTGAGGTCCAACTAAGCACCCTCAACTCCTATTTCTCAAAAGGGTATTGAAACTACTCATCATTTTGCAGGAGCAGACCCTCTACACTTCAGCTAGCCCTGACTTTTGTCACGATCTGAATAGTAAAGTAAAAGGCAATATAAAAAGCTGAGTGTTGCTGTACAGAATAAATATTTCCCTCTCCTTTTCATTCACCAAGCTTCACAATAGGGTCTGTGTTTCTCTGTTATTAGCATAAGAGAGTAGACATCTTGAACATGATCAGTGTCTCAGAAAAAAAAACACATTTCAAAGAAGCAGTAAAAAATCACAGACCTATCTGTGTGAAGACTCCACTGGGTGATTTGGAAAGTTTTCTCAAGAGCAGTTGTTGCCCATTAACATGATACTTGAGCTAGTGCCTGAAGTACAGTATTGTATTCCTATGAATCAGGCAAAGTTTACAAATGTTGGTTGGAGAAGATAAAATGGCGCATCAGAAATACTAATTGATTTGTTTGTGTGCTTCATAGGTGGATTTGATAGACGGTATTATTCTTCTTGTCTGGAACTGAGAATACTTGGAACCCTAGCTGGGAATCAAACCAAGTCGAAGTAAAGAGAATCTTTGTTAGGCCATAAAGTCTGTCCCACCGCAAAGCTTTCTACTAATGGCACATTGAGCCCCTGTCATTCTTCCGGTGCAGTGCGCATCATATATAATGACCAAATCTGCATCATTAATCATGTGTTAGAATGGAAATAAAATCATTGGAGCAGAAAATTGTTACTGGATATGTATCTCTTGTTTGGAGAAAAAAATGTCAGCTTGACATTTATCTAATGGCAAGAGACCATTATCTTGCAATATTGTTCCATTTACTGTGTCTCTTAATTATTTTAAAGACTTACAGATACAGGGAACGTATGGGCAATGGAGACAGGTTAGATTAGAGATGTGTTTGGCAAAAATCTGAGTATAAGAAAACAAATGATTTGAGAGAGAAGAGAGAACGCTTGTTTAGTGATGGTTCAAAGTCAGAGTTGATTATTTTCAGTCCACATTTTCACAAGGTGATGAATATAGTAAAGAAGTCTTTCCATTTTTAGTGTTATTTACACCGGTCATATTATCAGAAGAGCAGCCATGTTAGTATATATCTGAAAAAAAAGGGAGTCCTGTAGCATCTTAAAGACTATGGGTATGTGTACACGACAGCGTTAATGCAAGTTATCTTAATTCAAAATAGTTAATTCGAATTAACACGTCTACACAAAATGCAGTTTGAATTAGCATTGTGCTAATTCAAAGTACTGCATTCACACTGACTAGACACAGAATCGGAAGTAAGGCCAGCCAGAACCAGGTCAGGCAGGGCATCAGGCCAGGAGTATCTTATGCCTGTGCTTAAAGGGACAGCCACCCGCCCCCCGGGAAGCCGGTTCTCAGGTGTCCCTGCTTGCTTGCCTGCCTCGATGAGGGACAGCAAAGCATTTGTGTCT